TATATACAGGGTGTATCACTTCAATAAAAGTATCTTTTCAATCAAAATATTTTTCTATACGTTTTTATTTAATTAAATTAAAGTCCTTAATTTTTTTTTAAAAAAAAAAAAAAAAAAACATGACAATTTTACCACGGTAAATATTAAAAAAAGAAAAAAAGAAATTAAATGCAATTAAAATTAAAAAATAATATAATAATAATAATAATTTCATTTTAATTTTATTAAAATGTGTTTTTTTTTTTAATTATAATAAAATCATTCAATTTTTATATATATAACTTTATAACTTTATTATATTTATAATATAGTATTATTATAATTTATGTACTATAATTAATAAATATATATTTATTATATATTTAAATATATATAATATTATTATTTTATTTAATTATTTATTATAAGTAATAAATATAATTTTATTATATTTGTAATATTATTATATATATATATTATATAACTTTGTTATTATTATTATTATTATTCTATATATTTTTATATAATAACAAATTAACTGTAAATGTTTCTAATATTTTCTTTTTCGGGAATTTTATTCAGAAAAAAATAAAATAAAATAAGTTTGAAAGATTTGAGAAAAATAAAAAAAGAAGAAGTAATTGATTTTTAAATCACTTAGGAACATTTGGCTCACCTAGGAATTTTTGGCCCTCACCTTGTACCTATATATATATATATGTGTATATACGTGACGCATATACATATACGTACATGGGAACTACGAAATTTCAGTCGTATTTAAACTTGGCAAAGATCCATGAAAGAGAAAACTATTAGTACTATACACATAATATATATATAAACTTTACTATTATCGATTAACACAACTCTTAATATATTGAACGAATATATGAACAAATGAGTTGAAAAATTTTGAACATAAAACAAAAACAATTTCAATTTTTCGATTTTTCAAACTTCAAAATTCCGTTTTTTTTTTTTTTCTTGTAATTCAACAATTTACAATCTATCTTCATATGAAGATAATAAATTGAACTTAAAATATTAAAAAATCTATTGTATTCCCTTTTTAATTGTTAAATTATTGAACACACAAGTGTTTCATTCGTTTATAATCGATCATCATCATAATTGGTCTTTTTTTCTTTTTTTCAATTGTTCAATTGATTACTGTACACCAATGAATATTATTTTTTATTGATTTTTATTCAACGATCTCATGTATATATTGGTTCAATTAAAATTCTTATGTGTGTGTGTGTGTATATATACGTTGATCATTTAACTGTACTAAGAAATTACATTCAACACATTCTTATTAACAATTCTATTCTCGTTTTATTCAGTCATTTGGGTTAATCGTTTGGTTAAAAAATAAAGAATAAAGAAAAAAATAAAAAAAAAAAAACAAACAAAGAAAAAAAAAGTATTCTCTCCTCTAACTTGGTAAATTACTCGTCCTAACAAGTCGTACAACATTTTTTATTTCTATGTTTGAAGAATATTAATTAAGTATACACATAAACATGTTGAATATTAATAAGTGAATATTTTTTTGAAAGTTTTAATTTATTTTCTTCATATTTAAAAAAAAAAAAAAAAACATTATTTCGTAGTAGGTCAAAAGTTACTTTCGAAATTATTTTGTAAAAGTAAATTAATTTTTTAAACTTGTTATATTATTTTATTATTGATTTTTTAAAATTATCTGAGAAACTCTTGAATCAATTTATACAAATACAAAATAAATATCTTATTTATCTTGCATTTAAAACAACATAGATACAAAGTTTTTATAGATATATATTTAATAAAGATAAAGATAATAAATTCTAATCACCTAAATTCAATACTATCTTAAAAAGATAAACAAAAGTATAAATGAAAAAGAAAAACACAATAAATTTCGTCTGCAAAGAGTATTGCAAAGAAATATAAATGATTAATATTTGTCTCATTAAAAACAAAAGTAAAAACAATTTAATAATAATAATAATAATAATAATAATAATAATAATAATAATAATAATAATAATAATAATAATAATAATAATAATAA